ATTTTGAAAGGACCGCAGGCCCCAGCTGATGACACTTGTGACACGATATTCTAAACTCCGATTGGTGTTTTTACTTCGTTATTTCACGCGTTAAACCTAGTCTGATTTGAGCCCCGTCTAACTCCACCAGACCCAGGATGAGAAAACGTAGGCGATATGTTTCTCCGAAAATTTGACGACCACCCACAAGACGAAAAGAAAACCACTATCGAAAAAGCTTCGACAGTGGTATTAGTAGTTGGTCCAGCATCGTTACAGAATCTGCAGTTTGGAGTGCAGCCTCGTTTGTGCCGATAAAATCTGCGAGTATTTGAAAGTCCGGAACTGCAAACACTCGGAGAGTCCGGAAGTGGAAATTTTGTTGTCGGCTCTCGTGGATTGCCCAGAGGATTTGCTTTCCCGTCACGAACTGCGTTGTGTAACTGCGTCCCCCTCGTAAGTGGGGGGGGGGGACTCTGCTGTGTGAGTCATTTAATTGAGAAGTTTCGAGGGTCATCAGCCTATGATTCGTTCGCTCGAGATTAAGAAGGACCGCACCGGAAATGTGTCTTCACGGTAAGTCACATGCCCGACTAGAGGGACGGAGGACCTTCGTGATTTATGTAGGCTGTGTAGGTCGCCAAGAATTGTCGGGATAAAGTCTAGGATGCTTAAATGCGCTAGGCGTGTGGTTGGTCTAGGATAAACTAGACTTATTGTAGCGATGCCCTGGAACATTTCCAAAGCCGAGAAGGTGATAACATTAAGATGGATCTGGACGGAATTCCCCTCGATTGTGTCCATCGACATGGTCACGTTGAACCACAGAGTTCTGCTGTTACTGTTTGTTTTAAGGGGGCCGGATTGTTCTGTGGTCTCTCACGTGTGGAACAAATATCGAGCTCTCTCGTGGAATATAATAGAAGAAAGTAACTTGACCTACTTTCGTACGCAGTAATCATTGTTACTGGCGAGTGACGAAGGCATGGATTTATGTAGTATCAAGTAATTGCCACTCCAAAGTCATTGCGTTTAATTTCAAATCATTTGCTATGATCGTACCTAATCGGTTGTTTGAACAGGATATTATTTTATGATGATTATGTTATAGGATTAAACTGGCGTTTTGCGTAAATATTTCACGAATTGTGCTAATATTATTACACCCGCATAATTTTTGAGCTACAGTGTTGATAAATGCAGACAAAATTTTAATCTGGAAACCTGAAGGAAGGAGTAGAAAACGTGATTATAATATTAAAATGTATTCTAAGTAGGGTGTGGACTGAATCCATCTGGCTGTGGATGGTGCTCGAGAAAGATTTTGTGTTGTAATTTGTCAGATGCGAGTGCGACCAACAGGAAAACACTTTTAGCGAAAAGTAATTAGTTATTACCGTGCTTTTGAATTTGAAAAGCTTGCCGACCAAAACTGATTCAGCTGCCGCGTGTGCAGTAAGCCGGACTTTTTGTTTTCCTTCGGTGGAAAGTTAGAGGCTGTGAGCCGAGTTGGTTCTGCGATCTCCTTTGTCTGTTCCGAGGCGTAGTTAAGTGCACAGCTTCGTCGTAGCATTGCGGGGTAGACACACAAAAACGCACGGCTGGATTCTTGCCAGTTGGATTTGTGGAAATGGGGGGGGGGGGAGACATAAAATAACGAAATAGGTCAGGAATGTTTTAATTGCGTGGTTTTTGTTTTCCCCCCCTGTTTTCATGCCCTTCTGATATTTATTTTGAGAACTGACGAATGTTAGGGAAATGTTATAAAGTGGACGACTTTATTTATTTGCATTTTATCTCGTGTTCTTATACCCCGTCTTACCTTTGAGTGCCGGAGACAAACAGGGAACTATACAATGTTGACTGGTGACGTGAGCTATTCGCCGACTTATCTGTGTCTTCTTTGGTGCCCTCCAGAGGCATCTTGGGATGCTGGAGCGC